CTCTCTCTCTCCTGTAGGAGGGTGTGGCTGCGCAGATGGAGGTCACACTGGAGGATCTGAGCGAAGACGAGGAGTTCGACTCTGACACTGTGTACGGTGGGTAATCATCAGCGACAGACCGGTCTTCCTCTATTATTATCTTTATTATTATTATTATTCAAGCATCAAAACATTAAAAGTTTAAAGAGATAGTTCACCCAAAAATGAAAAGTACCCCATGATTTACTCGCCCTCAAGGCATCCTAGGTGTGTATGACCTTCTTCTTTCAGACAAATACAATCAGAGTTATATTCAGTACAATTCTGGCTCTTCCAAGCTTTATAATGGAAGTGAATGGGTGTTATTTTTCAACCGTCCAAAAGAAGTCCAATAAAGCGCATCCGTCCCTCATAAAAAGTGCCTCATTTCACAGTGTTTTTTGGCCGTCACACAGAGTACGAGTTAAAGCAGAGCTAAGGCCTTGAAATATGACGCTCTGCCCTAAACAAAGACATTTTGAACACTTTTTTTACAGTGCCAGTCTTTTATAGACCCTTGAACTCGAATAAGACGATGCACAGAGCTGTATTTCATGTTGTTGCATTAAACGGGACATTAGGCCTTTATTAGAGGTACTAGCCTAAATTTTGAGCAAATAGATCTCTTTTAATTCATGTGCACCCAAGCTCTCGTTTCTTCATAGTAAGATGGCAGTGATGCACAAAGGAAATGGGTTAGAATATATAAAACTAGAAAATGCTCCCGTGCTCGTGTCAATAGTTTCTCAGAGGCATGAAAACTGTTCTTGTGTGCGTGCAAAAGTGTGTGTATGTGCAAGAAAATCAATGAAAAACCCCCTGAGAAAATCCTAATATTTACAGATGACTGTACTTTAATACCTGAAAATAATGCACTATGAACCATGTATGTTAAATATGGTTTGAAATGTGAAATTTTGAAATGGAAAATGTGCAGGAACCCTGTAATTTAAAACATAATAGAAATGAGTACGATGAGTTGTTTTTTAATGAGAATAAGTGTGTAGTTTAATTCATACATAATGACAAGGCAACATTTTCACCCATGTTTATTTATTTATAGTTATTTGAAATATTAAAGTGGACACTTTAATGGGCTCTTATGTTTATAATATGTGTCCCTGCAGCACAAAAGCAGTGTTAAGTCGCTGGGGGATATTTGTAGCAATAGCCAACAATACATTGTATGGGTCACATTGAGTGTGCACGTGTGTGAGAATGAGTGTGTGTGTATCTGTGTGTGTGGGGGTGTGTGTGAGAGTGTGAGTGTGTGTGTGGGGGTGTGTGTGTGTGAGAGAGTGAGTGAGTGAGTGTGTGAGAGAGTGAGTGAGTGTGTGAGAGTGAGTGAGTGTGTGAGAGAGTGAGTGAGTGTGTGTGTGTGTGTGTGGGTGAGCGTGTGTGTGTGGGTGAGCGCGTGTGTGAGAGTGAGCGCGTGTGTGAGAGTGAGCGTGTGTGAGAGTGAGCGTGTGTGAGAGCGAGTGAGCGTGTGTGTGAGAGTGAGAGTGAGTGTGTGAGAGTGAGTGAGAGTGAGTGTGTGGGTGTGTGTGTGTGTGAGAGAGTGTGTGTGTGAGAGTGAGCGTGTGTGTGAGAGTGAGCGTGTGTGTGAGAGTGAGCGTGTGTGTGAGAGTGAGCGTGCGTGTGAGAGTGAGCGTGCGTGTGTGAGCGAGCGTGTGTGTGTGTGTGAGCGAGCGTGTGTGTGTGAGCGAGCGTGTGTGTGTGTGTGAGCGAGTGAGCGTGTGTGAGTGAGCGTGTAGTGAGCGTGTGCGTGAGAGTGAGCGTGAGAGTGAGCGTGTGTGTGTGAGCGTGTGTGTGTGAGCGTGTGTGTGTGAGAGTGTGTGTGTGAGAGTGTGTGTGTGTCTGAGTGTGCGCGCGTGTGTGTGTGTCTGAGTGTGCGCGCGTGTGTGTGTGTGTCTGAGTGTGCGCGTGTGTGTGTGTGTCTGAGTGTGCGCGCGTGTGTGTGTCTGAGTGTGCGCGCGTGTGTGTGTCTGAGTGTGCACGTGTGTGTGTGTGTGTGTGTGTGTGTGTGTGTGTGAGAATGATTGTGTGTTTGTTTGAGTGTGTGTGTGTGTGTGTTTGTTTTCTGGAATCAGTGTTATTTTAGCATTATTTCTATACAATTATAGTATTAATATTTTGAATTAGTTTTTATTTTTATGTTTTCTTTTTTTAATTTTAGTTTACATTTGAGTTATTTTATGTTTTTGTCATTTTATTTTTTAGATATTAGATTTTTTTTGTTTGTCGTTTAATTTTTTAATTAAATCTAATCTAAAAATCTAATCAAATTTTTGTTTAAATTTTTAATGTCTTTTTCATCTTATATTTATTTGATATTATATTTACATTTATATTCATTTTTAGTTAACAATAACACTATTAAATATCCTATTTTACATCTTATGGAAGCAAATGTCTTTAACTGTATCTTGCTCCGCTACAAACGACTCACTATTTAAAGCATTTATGCAATCTTATTAATTTATTCCCTCATAACTAAGCTTTAGAAAAGCATCAGAATTGTGAGCAGTCATGTAAAATGCATCTGTTGTTGATTTGTCACTGTGCAGCGTTATAAAGCCTTAAAGACACACGAAGAGTCCGGCTCAACCTCAGGAGACGCAGCAGACCACATGAGTCCAGACCCAGCCCCGCAGACCCTACAGTCCTGCAGCAGACAGGAAGTGGAGACGCTCGCACAGGAAGAAGCCGTCGCCAGAGAGCCGGAGGACGAGGGGAAGTCTGTCGGGGGCCGGGGCCGGACTCCTGCTAAGAGACGAGGACGAGGAGGAAGACGACGCTGAGACACACAGAGAGCTGTATCAGCCTCAGAGGACCCTAGTGAAACCACCCTCCGTAGACCGTGTGTGTGTGTGTGTGTGTGTGTGTGTGTGTGTGTGTGTGTGTGTGTGTGTCGCAGTTCAGACGGGATCGTGCCGCACACTCGCGCCTCTAGCCCTGTTTGTACAGTAGCTGTGTTTGTCATGAGCACACCGACCTCAGAAGAAGGGGATGATTGGATACGCTGCCGAAGCAAGACATCAGCAGCTCAGATTTCAGCACAAAACTAACGCGATGTGTCATAAAAATGAAATAGTTCAATCCTTAAAGTCATAAAATAGGTATTTTTGGCATTATAATATAGATATATAGAGACAGATAGAGAGAGAGTGACAGAGAGATAGATAGATAGATATAGAGATAGAGAGATATAGATAGAGACAGCTAGAGAGAGAGACAGATATATAGAGAGAGATAGAGATACAAACCCGGTTCCAAAAAAGTTGGGACACTGTACAAATTGTGAATAAAAACAGAATGCAATGATGTGGAAGTTTCAAATTTCAATATTTTATTCAGAATACAACATAGATGACATATCAAATGTTTAAACTGAGAAAATGTATCATTTTAAGGGAAAAATAAGTTGATTTTAAATTTCATGGCATCAACACATCTCAAAAAAGTTGGGACAAGGCCATGTTTACCACTGTGTGGCATCCCCTCTTCTTTTTATAACAGTCTGCAAACGTCTGGGGACTGAGGAGACAAGTTGCTCAAGTTTAGGAATAGGAATGTTGTAGTGTGTGTGTGTGTGTGTTTGTTTTCTGGAATCAGTGTTATTTTAGCATTATTTCTATACAATTATAGTATTAATATTTTGAATTAGTTTTTATTTTTATGTTTTCTTTTTTTAATTTTAGTTTACATTTGAGTTATTTTATGTTTTTGTCATTTTATTTTTTAGATATTAGATTTTTTTTGTTTGTCGTTTAATTTTTTAATTAAATCTAATCTAAAAATCTAATCAAATTTTTGTTTAAATTTTTAATGTCTTTTTCATCTTATATTTATTTGATATTATATTTACATTTATATTCATTTTTAGTTAACAATAACACTATTAAATATCCTATTTTACATCTTATGGAAGCAAATGTCTTTAACTGTATCTTGCTCCGCTACAAACGACTCACTATTTAAAGCATTTATGCAATCTTATTAATTTATTCCCTCATAACTAAGCTTTAGAAAAGCATCAGAATTGTGAGCAGTCATGTAAAATGCATCTGTTGTTGATTTGTCACTGTGCAGCGTTATAAAGCCTTAAAGACACACGAAGAGTCCGGCTCAACCTCAGGAGACGCAGCAGACCACATGAGTCCAGACCCAGCCCCGCAGACCCTACAGTCCTGCAGCAGACAGGAAGTGGAGACGCTCGCACAGGAAGAAGCCGTCGCCAGAGAGCCGGAGGACGAGGGGAAGTCTGTCGGGGGCCGGGGCCGGACTCCTGCTAAGAGACGAGGACGAGGAGGAAGACGACGCTGAGACACACAGAGAGCTGTATCAGCCTCAGAGGACCCTAGTGAAACCACCCTCCGTAGACCGTGTGTGTGTGTGTGTGTGTGTGTGTGTGTGTGTGTGTGTGTGTGTCGCAGTTCAGACGGGATCGTGCCGCACACTCGCGCCTCTAGCCCTGTTTGTACAGTAGCTGTGTTTGTCATGAGCACACCGACCTCAGAAGAAGGGGATGATCGGATACGCTGCCGAAGCAAGACATCAGCACCTCCAGCTCAGATTTCAGCACAAAACTAACGCGATGTGTCATAAAAATGAAATAGTTCAATCCTTAGTCATAAAATAGGTATTTTTGGCATTATAATATAGATATATAGAGACAGATAGAGAGAGAGAGAGAGAGAGAGAGATAGATAGATAGATAGATAAAGATTTTTTTTCTTGCATTGTCACATTATTTTCATAATAGTGAAACACATTTTTAGCCATTACCACTTTTTTGTTCTATTTTCATTACTGTAATGCAGTATTTTTAATCACAGGCAGTATAACCAATACAGCCATGCTGCATAAGTGCTTCACAATTTAAATGAACAACTATGCTCTATATTTATGTGTATTTCTATTGGTTTTGGGATGCGACGTGAGCAGATCGTGTTCCCTTCGAGTCATTTCCAAACTGTGTTCAGATTACAGTCAAATGTTTTTATTGCTTCATTCGATGGCATCGATTTCTCGTCACCAGAATAATGTTGGAAATAACAGGTTTCCGCTCAAACGTTTCCAACTGGTTCCCAGTAGTCTAAGACCAGCTTAAACCAGGTCTTAAACCAGCTAAGACCATCTTAAACCAGCTAAGATCAGCTAAGACCATCTTAAACCAGCTAAGATCAGCTAAGACCATCTTAAACCAGCTAAGACCATCTTAAACCAGCCAAGATCAGCTAAGACCATCTTAAACCAGGTCTTAAACCAGCCAAGACCATCTTAAACCAGCTAAGACCAGCTTAAACCAGGTCTTAAACCAGCTAAGACCAGCTTAAACCACCCAAGACCAGCTTAAACCAGCCAAGACCAGCTTAAACTAGGTATTAAACCAGCTAAGACCATCTTAAACCAGCTAAGACCA